GCTTTTTATTTTACCGCATACCTTAGAAGAGAAGGCATAGGGAGGAATAAAACTTACTTGGTCATTCCTATCCATACATTTGTAGAGGACAAAAAGGACAAAACCAACAGAACTGGAAGGTAACAAATCCAGAACCTCAGGCAACAATTACCTTTACGTGGTTTTATGAGCTAAACTTAAAAAACACTGTAAGATCAAAAGCTTCATACCTAATGTTTTTAAATTTGAGTTTACTTCAAAATGTAAGGAGGAGGACTGAGAACAGAACACAATGATTAAGCCACAACACTCTAGGACATGATCCAGAGTAAGGAATTTCTGACAGGACTGGTACAAAGCAAGCTCTCTCCCCTGCCAGTTACCAAAAGAACTGTCTCCTTGCACTGGGTTTACATGGCAAGGTGTTGGCAGCAAGGGAGCTTCAAGGACGGCTTCTGTGAGATGAGAGGATGGGGCTGCCCCTGTGCTGAACAGAGGCCAGTCCCCAAATCCTCCTTCTGGTGGCCCTGCGTGTCCAGGGTGCCTGGGCTGCTCCACAGTGAACACTAGGAGTGGATGATGGCATGTGCTCAGCAGAGCTTGGCTGGATCCTGGGTTTGAGCCTCAGGAACATCCCACATGCCGCTGTGGTCAAGCCACTCAGTGGAGTCCTGCTCCTGAGCCCCGATGACATCCTAAAGCTGTCCCTGTAGGTATGCAGGGATGTCTTCCCCGCTCCTCAGCATAATCCTGTCCCTAAGCCTCAGGGCGATCCCCCAGGTGTGGCTGTGGGCGATGGTTACCCAGCTCCCTGGCTGGATCTCGAGGCTCCCCGAAGAGCGAAGTATAAAACTGAAACAGAAAAATATTCTCAGAGGTCATCTGAAATCCTGAAGGAAATTGCGAAGAAATTGGAGAAAGTGGCACAAGACACACCAAGAAACTGTGCAGAAAGAAGTGTTTCAGGAAGGAAGCAGTTGCACACCGCTGTTCTCTGGTGAAGACATGGGCAAAGCAAACAACTGGCACTCCAGGGGCAGATGCTGATTAAAGTGCAAAGGCTGCCAGTGACAGAAAGACCTGCAAAAGTACTATATCCAAGATCTGCTCCTTGTGGGACCCATGGGCTGCAGGGGGACAGCCTGCTCCACCAGGGGCCTCTCCACAGGCCGCAGGGGAACTGCTGCTGTGTGCCTGGAGCACCTCCTGCCCTCCTGCTGCACTCACCTGGGGGGCTGCAGCGCTGGTTGTCTCACATTTTTCCCACTCCTCTCTCTCACAACTGCTGCGTAGCATTTTTCACCCTTTCTTAAATACGTTATTACAGAGGTGCCACCAGCTTTGCATCTGATTTCTAAATGGAATATCACCTCATGCATCTATATTGATTGGTAAGCTATCAAATGTGGTTATTTTCTACAATAACACTTGAAAGCTTCCCTTTTTTCTTTTGTTTCTCTGCTGTTACCTTATGTTGTGTGGTGCACAGGCTTGTCTCAGCTTTTCTTATGTCTACTCCACTGAGTGGATGGAGGGACCTGAATTACCCAAAACATACAAGTTAATTTCATCTTAAATTTCTAATGGCTTGATTACAAAGCTTGCCTGATTCTGCTGTCCAGATACCACTAATTAGTGATACCAAAATGCTGTTTACTGTAAGGTAAACGGATTTCTCCTATTAAACAATGCTGTGGTTTTACAGGGGTAAAATGTGCTCACTGTAGTACTAAATATAAAAGGTCAGTGTTTATCTGCGGCAGGCATTATCGAACAAAAGCACAACATTCCCAGTTTTATTCTTTAAACTCTTTCAGCTGTATATAATTTAATCTCAAGTAAATTAAGGAGATTTGATAGCTAACTGGGAGCTGGAGTGCACGTCCGGAAGGCCTGCATTGCAGCCCCCACGCAGCTGACCTCTGTGCACACATGGAAGTACGACCAGAAAGTCGGGAAGGAAAGCACCTGCACAGGTCTGCACACCTGACAAACCAGCATTTCAGACACTGCACGAGTTTGAAGCTAGCACTCCCGCTATCTCCCAGAGACCCTAACTAGCACTTCCTATGCACCAAAGGCATCAAACGTAGCCACCAGGGTGCACAGTGAGTTCAGAAAGGACGCCAAGCTTGCAGCATATGAGACACAGAGAATATACCAGGTAAGTGTATCTCAGGGCGGCAGCAAGCGCAGGATCAGCCATTTCAAATCCTGGGCAAGGCAGCCTGACCTGCTGCAGGGCCATCCTTCTCTGGCCATCAGTTTATGGTCAGAGAGCAGCTGTGCACCGTTGGTGCTGGAAAAGGCAGTTCCCCTTTACCACCCAGCTCTCTTCCTCAAGGCTGCTACACGCTGGTTGCAAGAGTGAGATGGGGAAGAAAGAAGTGGGCAACACGGAGGAAGCACTGAACTGAAGGAAACTGCAGCCTAGCAGCACTCGCCGTTGCTTTTAACCACTGTGGTGGCGCAAGTCCCTGCTGCCTACCTGCTCCAGACCACAAAGAGCACTGCAGCCTCCGTGGCCACATCTACCTTCTGAGCTGCTCACAGTGACTGGGAGGACAGGCATGGGAGCCACATGAAGCATGGGAGATGGTGACCTCCCAGGAAGGGGCCCAGGGCAAATAACTGGTGGCTCTAATGTCAGTGGTGGGCTCACAGCAAGACGTGGATGTGAATATAAAAATCCCAGTGCTGCCTCTTCACCGGGTGTGTTGGTATCTGAATTCCTACAGCCATTTCCCAGAACACGGGCTTACTGCAAGGTGGTAGCCACTTGGAGATGGACTAAAGAAAAACGTGTGAGTTTTCTAATTACAGAAATTCAATGTATACCTGACATGCACACAGAGAGCAGCAGCCAAGCCAGCGTTAAGTCACAGGTCAGTTGCAAGTAAGGTCCTGTGACCGAAACAGCTCCTCCATCACCAAAATGCTTGGCTGGGCGAGCGAGAAGCAATCACGACCTGTTCCCTCGGTTGGCACCTGGCTCTGGCGCGACCTGACAACATCAGCTGCTTCTTCCCCGCTGCCTACCGGCTCACCCATCCCGGTACCCTGGGCAGCAGGAGGCAGGCTGCCGGCAGCCCTGTCTTGCCCGTGCCCGCACCCACCCCTGCTCTCCTTGTGGGCCAGGCGGTGGGGCCAGCGCCCGGGCCCTGGGCACGGCTCCCTGGGGTCAGCGTCCCCCTGCTCCCTGCACCACCGCTGCTCTCCCCCTCGCCTTTTCCTCGGCGGGCTCGGCACCTGCCCCGGCAGCTCCAGCCCCCGCCGCTCCCCTCACCGCCCTGTGCGGCCGCGCCCGACGGGACCCGCAGCGGGCGGCCCCTTGCCCCGTGCCCCCGCCGAGGGCTGCGCCGCCGGCCCCCGGCCGCCCCCCGCGGGCCCCGGGGCCGCCCCCCGGCCCGGCCCCGAGCATGCTCAGTGCCGCCCTGACCTACTTTCCCTGCCGGCGCCGGCGGTGCGGGGGGCAGCGCTGCGGCACGGCACGGCACGGCACGGAGCGGAGCAGAGCGGCTCGGCACGGCTCGGCTCGGCCCCACGGACTGCGGCAGCGCCGCGCTCCGCCCGCCCCGGGCCCGGCATGGCGCTGCGCGGGGCGCGCTGAGGGGCGCGGCGGCGGCGGGCGCTGCCGCGGGGCGGCCGCCGCGCAGGTGAGCGGGCGGCGGGGGGGCGGCCGCTGCGCTCCGAGGGGCGCTGCCCGGTGCCCGCTGCCCGCTGGGCTCTGCCTGCCCCCGGAGCCCCGGCTGCGGGCTGGCTGGGGGCGAGGGGGCGAGGGGGCGAGGTGTCCCCCCGGCAGCTTCCCGGGGCTGTCAGAGAGCGGCAGCTGCCCCGCTTTGCGGCGCTCCGCACGGCCTCCTGCCGCTCGGCTGCAGCTGCCCTCTCCTCTCACAGGACTGCCTCGGGAGGTCAGGGGCGAGCGCGGAGGTGCCCCGAGGTCTGAAGCGGCCCTGAAGCTGGGGGCGGTCCGGCGGAGCTCGCCGGTGCTGCTGGTGCCTGCCGGGCCGGCTCGGAGCAGCGCCGGGCAAGCGGCTGGAGCGAGGAGGAGGCGGCCCGGAGCTGCCTGCGGGGTCTCGGCCCCCCGAGGGGTGCCCTGGAGCGACTCCTGCGGAGCCCCCCTGCTAACCCCGCTCGGGAGGAGAAGCACCGGCTGCGGGCAACGCCACATGCAAAATGCGACCTCGTTTGGTACGTATTTGGCTGGAAAAAAAACTGTGAAGTTAGCTCGTGGTGGATAACGCTAAGGGATTTAAAGGGGAAAACGCAGCATTTTAGTTGGTAAGAGCCAATGCGTTACGGAACAGTTCCTCTCTTCACTGCAGTAGGACAAAATACGGCAGCTCTCCTTTTAGCGGAGGCAATGTTTGCTTGGCAGGAATCTTTTGTCTGGCTTAGTGTGTACAGTGAGCAACAGCACCATTGGGTACCGGTGGTTGCTGTAGTAGGAATCCTTCTTTCTTTCTTTCTTTCTTTCTTGAAAGCCATCTAATCTAGACTGCAGTATATCAACATCACTAGATTCTGAGTGCAACTCACACGGCTTGAGTGCACGTCGCATATATACTATTTTTTTCAGATACTTAGACAAATCGCAGACCATCACCAAGAAAAAGCTTTCTTCCCACTTTGTTACAGAGATGTGTGGTATTTGTCCAACACAGGCAGGTTTCCATTGAGAAAGCTTACAGATAAAATAGCTGTGCTAACTGTCACCAGAAGACTGTAGCAGTAAGACCTGGCTCCTCAACACTGCCTGGAATTTTTTCATCCCTGCAGCTCTGAGCTGCTGCCTGGCCATGCAGATCAGCACCCTTGCAGACGTCTCTCTGTAGTCTTAATTCTGTTACTTAGTTCTGCTAAGTGAAGCAATGGCATTTTCTAACCATATACAGACCCATCTGAGAAACATCACTTCCAAAACAGTATTACCTTTCACCAGTTACCGTGATTAAAATTATCCATAACAGCATTTTAGAACATCTTTTTTTTTTTTTTTTTTTTAAATCTGTCAGGCGGGAAAGGTGTGAAGGGCAGATAAAACTTGTACCTTCTCCTGTAAGTTCCTCTATCCAGATAGAGGAATTCAAACTGATTTAGTGATTTTCATTTAGGTAACAAAAAAAAAAATTGGTAGTGGACTGTCTTACTTCAGAGTAAAGTGGTGAAAGTGGTGCCTGATTATCAGAAATAAGGAACTCTGTACAGATGCGTAAATCTCTTATTTTGGAAGAGGGCCACAACAAATGGGGGAATTACATTAAGAACAGCCTATTTAGGTTTAACATTTAATTGTCCTGCCACTCTGAGAGTTTCATAGCAACAAAAGATTTCTGCTGATATGTTCAAGTCATGCAGGAACAGGCACTGCACACTGCATTGCCACCGCGCCATTGTGCGTGCAGTCCCCAGTCACACCTGTGTGACCGCACGGTGCCCACTCCTACCGGCACTACTGGGTTTTCTCCAGTATGTCTAGTCCCTGGATAGTGGGTGCACAATGCCAGTGGGCTGTGGTGTGCTATAGTGTAGCAGTTCACATGGTACAGTTTTCATTTACGAGCATGTTTCTGAACAGTTATTTCAGCATGATGTTGCTATGCTAGGTGTTCTGTGCAGAATCTGTGATCAGCTTATCAAAAGATGGTTAGGCAGTCATGCGACTGCAATATTAGTCACATTTTTCAGTCCAGAGTAGATAAAATGGCACAAAAGTCTGAATTGTAAGACGTTCTTTAGTAAATTTGTGAGTTCTACCTAAATGATTGCACCTAAATTATGGCCATATATTGATGCACTAGGAAAGGGCTGTATTGATCCCATTTGTATACAAGCAAGACTCAAGTTTCTGTGTGATGCAATGCAAACTCCTTTGAATCCTGTCTGCTGTCCCTTCTTGATTCTCATGGGGGAAGTAGGAACATGCACTTTAGCCTAAAATGATCTTTTCTTCTGCAATCAGTCCCGAATGGTTAGATTCCTTTAAATTCCCCCTCACAAATTTAATCCTGTCCTAATCCCAGCACCCACGTGTAACCTCTTTGCGCAGTATCCCGGAAACCAATAAATGTGAAAAACAGTCATTAAAAGCTGGTAATTATATGCATCTTGCAATTCTATGGGGATGTAGATGAATTAGTCATACTTTACTCTGTGTTCTCCCAGGTTTTTTTTATTCTTTTATATTCCCACTTAAATGAGACCCTTTTATTAAAATACTGTTTCTAGTTAAACTGTATGTAGTGAATTGAAAATATTCACTTATTCAAGGCATTTTAGAATTTAAAAAGTAGAAGTTTTAGCTCTGCAAAGCCTTTCATATCTTTGTTTAAAGAAAACCTAATTTCTAATTTTACATCTTGTTTGAACATCTAACATCTAGAATTTTTCATCTTCATTTGGAAAAAGAAAACAATTAGATATGCCTGAAGGATGGTTAGCTTTGGCAAACAGCTCAAAAGAAGAGAAAGTAGAAGGAAATGAATTGGGCCCCATTCCACATTGCTGTGTTCCTTCCACTAAGAACAGATAAGCCATGCTGAGAACATATAAGATCTGTTGTATTTGCTGACTTCAGTGATTTAGACTGTTTGCAGAATAATGCCTACAGAGTGCTGGTATAAATAGAAGATAAGAGGTGAGTAAGGAAAAGGAAAGATACCTAGAACTTGGTGAGGCCAGGCCACATGTGTATGTGGAAGCGTGGGAGAGATTCTCTGCATCTTCTTTGTTACTTCTTTCTCAACAAAGGGGACTTTCAGGCATTGAGCCATCTGCATTTACTGCCAACAGTAAAACAGCAGCAGCTATGCTGAAAGCTTGCAAGGAGTTAAACAAGTGTCTCTTAAAGCCATACAGATGTTTCTAGAATAATAGCTTTGTACACAAAACTACATTGAGTGGCAATTGTCCAGCCTCCAGATAAATACAAATGCTAAATTAATCTAGGTAATCTCCATGGAAGAAGTATTTATTTGGAACATTCCAAGTCCTGTAAAGAGTTTATACCTAGTCAAACATCAGATGGGCCTTTAAAAGTCTCTCCACTACTGACAGGGTTGAATCTGCTTTTTGATTTGGGTAGCCCACACCTCAGAAGAAGGACATTTCTACCACAGTACTTGTCTTGAATAAAAACAGGCAAGCTTTTCCACTAAATATAAAGTTTTACTTTGTTTTTATGGAAGTCATTAAAACACGTGCAAGAAAACACTCAAATTGCTCATCCCATATAATAGCATGCATATGAACTACAACTTATTTAGTGAAAAGCATCCAAATTGCCTAAGCATTTTTTTTCAGTGTATTTCACGAAAAGTTGACTTGATATAGCAGAGGTGCTGAGATTACAGGAACTGCAACATCAGAAGGGAATTTTTCAGAGGTTTGGCATTCTTGAGGTACTTTTAAATAATCTCTCCAGTAATTACCTAACAATAGGCTTTATCTATTCATTTTTAGGCTAATGGATTAAGGTCTTTGAGCATTTGTTGAGTAAGGAGAACAACCACCAGACCACTCAAAGACATAGTTAAATCAATGCTACCATTCAAGTTTTTAAAGCAAAAGGGGTTTTAAAGTCTCCAGGATTTCATATGCTGGCTAGTTTTGCAATATCACGGCATGAGGTAGGACAAAGAGGAACAGTACTGAGGAGAACTTGACAGTAAAATACCTATTTGCAATTAGGCTTCTAAAATATTAATATGGTTGTAAAGGCAACATCTGGAGGGTGAAGAACTTCATTTTACCATTGCTGATGGTGTGTGCTTCATTGCCTACTCAGAGAGTCTGGATATAGCATACAGGATGTTTTATCTATGTGGGGTAAGTTCGGTCACAAATACAGAATGTGGAATAACCTTTTTGCTTAGTACTTTCATGCTGCAATTTATTGATACGCTATTGAACCTTGAAACTGAAATAAATGAATCTTTACGGTCATTAAGTTTACTCCCCTACAGTGTTGGTTGCGTCTAGAACAAAATAACTTTGAAAGATATTCATTGTGAATTTTACTCCATTTTTGCCGTTAATGGTAGAATAAGCTTTGGCCCTGATGTTTCCATTTTCTTTATTTATTTACCGTTTGTCACCTTCTAAAACAAATTCATAAATGTTTGCCTGGAATAGTTTACCAGTGTCTATGAAACATAAAATTAACTTAAAAGAGTCCTAAAAAGGAGTTTGAGTTGCCATACCAACAGCCATTCTTGTTCACTACCCAGAGCCGTACATTTAGAGGACAAGGAATACACAGAAGAAAGATAAATCCCCACGTACTGCACAGATGATCATAATCCAGGAACCTTTGCATGTAAATTATATATGGTCTCTCTTGAATCTTCATTAATTTCCTTATTTTACCTTGTGTGAATAAATTTTTGTCTAGGTATATGTTAATAAAAGAACCTTCCTTCTCTTTCTTCCCACTGTCCCATCTTCCACCTCAGTTCCACTGAAATTGGTCTTGTTCAGTATTATGAGAAACAGTGAATATGTATGCCTCAGCTGTCTTCTTTACATCACTCAATTTTGTGTGTATTTTTAATAACATCTCTTCCTACTCATCTACCCTCTGAAGTCAGTAGTCTGTAAAGGTTATCTTAGTCTGTCTTTGGCTTATCTCTGCTTTATTCCATTTCAAGATTAGATTTACCAGAACCAAGTGTGCTGTAGCATCAAGAAGCCTGACTTAACAGCAGGTAATAGCCCACGAACTTTAGAATCTGACTGTTACGTGTCAGGAAAAATAAAAAAGTAATACTGCAGCTATCCCAAATAAGTTATTAGTTCTTTACCTTGATGTTTCATTAGTTACTTAGGCTGGAAATAAGTCCTCTCTAAATGGTAAAGACACCATTGGTTATGTAAGTACAGTGGATAAGGGCAAGCACATTTTCTTTTAGGCTGTAGTCAACACTCTCAGCTTGTCTCCTCATTCTAAAATATTGATATTTAAAAGGATTATAAAGGGGGTTGTGAAGGCAACTTTCCAGCATTCCCAGGCAGCTCAATGCAGCCAAAGAGACTCAAACACATAAATAAGCTGGGAGCTGCTGCCCAGTTGGGAAGCGCCAGCCCAGATGGGCAGAAGGAAGCTCTTCAACCTATGAACATTACCAATGTGCCACCTTTTTGACATAGCCAGGGAAGCAGAAAGGACAGTGGAGGACTGAAGTACTCCCCAGAAAAATGAACAGAGCAGCTGTTTCAGGACCAAGCCTTAATATTTTATTGACTAACAAATGAGTAGAGAAATAAGTCAGAACATTGCTGCTAGTTGTTAAATGAGTGATATTTCTCTTCACTTGCCTGTCTGGACCCTAACAGCTTAACCTTTTCCTTAAGTGGTTCTTGTTCTTAAGCCTATGAGCTGGCAGCCAGCTTCTTAGCTTCTCTGTGCCGTTATTATGCCACACTGGTTCATTCTTCTGCATTCCTGTTCCAGTAACACCTGTTAGCTTTTACTGTTGTCCACTTTGAAAAGGCATTGCCCGTGGCAACTAGGAGAGGGGATTGGTCTGAAGATGCAGTGTAGTAAGTAGTTTTTAAATAATAAAGGATTAGCCTTAATTTTGTAGCATCATCTTTATAGTTATTTATAGACAAATGAGAATTAGAGTGAAAATCATTTCATTTTCTTGATCACTTACAAGTTAAGCAAGACACCATTGTGATGCTAAAGCTATTGGAATGTAATTTATGCATTGTACAATGAGCTGACTTCTGGTGCTTCACTTCTGAATTGAATAACCTCACAGTTAATAGGATTACACATAATTCCAAGTACAGGAACAGGCAAGTCTTACAGAAGAAATCAAGCCAGGAAAAGGTATACATCACTGACCTCCTTTTCTGTTCTTTTGTGCGCTGTCATCACATCGTTCTGCACAAATGCAGTACTTACAAATGTAGCCCCTCATCCGCAGTCCTTTTCCTTGGTGGCAGAAATACTGGGACGTAAACTCATCTGCAACATGAAAAAATAAATGGTCAGTCAGACCACAACATGTCTCTGAGTGATCAGTGTTCCCAGCCAGTCTGAACTGCAAGTGTCTTCTCATCAGACCACTGATGGTTTTGGACTGAGAAATGTTAACCTCAGGTTGGTCCATTTCACGGTTAGGAGTAATACCATCAGCCTGCAGCTCTGCTTGGTTTTGAGCCTATTTCCAGGGAACTTCTGTAGATAAAAATGCATAGGTAACACCATAGAGACGGCTGTTCCGTCACTTAGAAGAAAAACGTGTAATAGTTCTGGAAGCCCGGCACCAGCAGCTGGCAGGGGCCGGCAGTGGGCAGGGCAGCGGGGCTGCTGCTGGGTCCCAGGGCTCTGCCTGCCCCCGGAGCCCTGGCTGGGGGCGAGGGGGCGAGGTGTCCCCCCGGCAGCTTCCCGGGGCTGTCAGAGAGCGGCAGCTGCCCCGCTTTGCGGCGCTCCGCACGGCCTCCTGCCGCTCGGCTGCAGCTGCCCTCTCCTCTCACAGGACTGCCTCGGGAGGTCAGGGGCGAGCGCGGAGGTGCCCCGAGGTCTGAAGCGGCCCTGAAGCTGGGGGCGGTCCGGCGGAGCTCGCCGCTGCTGCTGGTCCGGAGCGGCAGGCGTGTGGTGACAGAGTCCTGTCACTTAGAGGGAAAACCTGTTATAGTTCCCTCATGTGGCTTGTCTCGTGTATGTTTCCTTGGAAGTTAATCCCGTGAGCAGCACTGTTACTTTCAGGTTTTCAGTTTACACCGTGTGGGTTGGGGGAAAAAAAACAAAACCACTTAACGCAAGGAACCCTGGCAACCGTCTTTCAGTGGCAAATTTTGCTACAGATACAATATGCCAGGGGATGTTATCTGTGTATTAGATGCTGGAGGAGAATTTAGGGATTCTTTGGTACCACCAGAGGTAAGCCTGTCCCTCGCTACAGCTTTGGAAGTGGGAGAGGCAGCTCGGACAGCTAAGGGTGTTTCTTTTCCTTTCAGGCACTACAGTTTAAAAAAAGAAGTAAAATGCAAGAGTATGTAACCACATTAACACTACCATAAATTTCTAGTTTTTCTAAGTCTTCTACATGTATCTTGTATGTGTGTTTTGAGGATGGCAGAAAGGAATGCATCCATTCTTTCCATGACCATAAATTTTACTTTATATTAATCTCCTATTTGGGGGCAAAAATGCTCGCAGAGACTGTGTGTGTTCCTACAGAGCAAATCCTTACCGTGCAGACGTAAGTGTCTCGTGTCCTGTGTTATCCTCAGACTTGAGGAGTTACTGCAGCACTCTGTTTTAGTCTAGTCAACCTAGCTGTGCTCTCTGACTTAAGGGCAGGTAAAAGGTTACCATTTTGGCTGCATTCACCAGGTTTATCACGGGCCACAGTTAATTAATGCCTGTCATGACCAGGATCCAGTGTGATAGCACTGTGCCCACTTCCCCAGTACCCTGGATTCTCTCATGTCTTTGCCAGAAGTGGGCTGACATCACCAGCAGCCCTGTTTCAGTCTCCTTACTCTCTCCATTTAGTTGTGTGATTGAATCACCACTTAGGTTTAACAAAGCAGCTGACTCCTACAGTTGTTTTCCCTAATATCTTTAGGCTGCTGTTGTGCCTAAGGCAAAGCAGTAGAACAGAAACTCTCAGGAAATCTCCCTTCACACCAGAGTCCAATGTGAGCACGTTTTCTACCCTTTCCAATTGTCTCTCTCCCCCTCCTTCTTCCTGCTCTCCTACCCTGATTACAGCTGTTGTGGTCCTGCGCAACAGATTAGCAGGGATGTGCAGCTCCCTGAGTGGCCACCCTTTAACTCTCTCTTGCTAGGTAGGGCTGAGAAAACCTTTTATTTTTATTTCCATTTTTTTTTGTTCCTCACTAACAGTGTCTAGGATATGTGTGCCAAAGAGAAGATTCTCTATCACTTCTTAGTTGCCCTGGGAACATTTGTTTAAACTGGCAGCTTAAAACACTCCTTCAGAGACATCTCTCCCTGACTCTTCAGACATACCCAAGAGCCCTTCCCTGGATGGCATGTGAAAGCAGCAGCCACCGTTTCCAAACATCTTGCTTTAAGTCTCCTGCCTGGTTATTGCTCATTCCAGCCATCAAACTGTATTTATTTCAAGCAGCAATGCATCTGTGGAGGTTTTAAGTGCTTTCTTAACATTCTGCATTCCAGGAACATACATGGGAAAGTACATTCCCAAGAGTGACACGAGTAGGCATGAATCTCCCACAGTAGACGTAAATTATTCGGCTCTATTTCTTAAGTTTTACTGCAGCTATTTATGATACCCTTCTGTGGTGCCAGAATGAGGGAGCTGCTGTTATTTTCAGACAAGTGATTGGCCCTTTGGCTACGTAAACCAGTCAGATTTGTTACTGCTACACAGAAGTTCGGTTTTTGCTTTCATATGCTCCGTGTTAAGCACAGGTGACCACACAGACCAGGCATGCCTCACGCTGTTACTGCCATCACACTCTGCAAAATATCCGTCCATAGCATCCCTACACTGCAGGGATTCAGTGGGTCACCAACCGAACCCAGCTTCCCAGTACACCAGGGTCCTTCCTCACGTGGTTTCTGCTCACCTGCTGGGGTGATCTTTTATTTCTTTTTGCAATTCCGATTCCTCTCCGTGCTAAACAATGTGTTTGATTGCTACAGATTTTTCTGCCATCAAAAAATACGGTAGGCTCAAATACAATAATTACTGGCTGCAGCCAGTAATTAGCAATACAAAGCTTGATGAATGTATGTTGTTCTTTTGCCCTTCCCATTGTCTTAATCCAGCCAGTCTTTGTTCCTGCTCCCTTGCCAGGAAGTGTGACGTGTCTTTTGGCTTTTCCGTATGGCGCAATGCAGATCTATAACGCTGTACAAAAACATTTTATAGGCTGAATATGTGTAGCCATAAAGAATGGCAGTCTCCAAGGTTAATGGAGTAGTAGAAATGAGATGTAAATAGTTACTGAAGTGAACAGGCAGAGTCAAAGATTTTTTTGCAAAGTGCAGATTTACACAGGCTATACCTATAGAGGGCTTCTGAAACACAGACTCTGCAGTTTGCATAATTGGAAATGGATTTCTGAAGTCAATGTTTTTATAGCTTTATACGACACTTGTGATTTGCATATTAATTTTAAAGTTAAAAAATTAGTCTGGCTCTTCAAGGCAAATATTTCCATATTGAGTATTTAGAAAAAAGGAAGAAAAGTGAGAGCAAGCTTGGAATTGTGACAGACATCCATACCATGCATGCAGCTTATCTAAAAATACATGGTTTGTCATTTCCAGTAATGATTCATCCTACAACACAGAAGAAACTAATTTGCTCTTTTAATAACGGTTGTATGAAATCAAGTTCAATGCCTTACAGAGAACAGAGGATGGAGAAGAAAACAGCCTAACTCAAATATAACCGGTGAAAGACAGTAATGTTTTCTTTCCTTCTTGAATAAAGGAGAAAAGAAGGAAGGGGATTGTTTGTTTGTTTTTATTTTAATGTTTCCCATATATCTGGAACTGTCTAACCGTGTCTAAGGTAGATGAGATACTTTGGTGTCACCTAGGTCTTTAATAAAACTCAAACCTTTTGCAAGTGAAATGTTCAGTTGGGGAAAGTTTGTTGGATACTTATCGTGTTCTATATTAGGTTCCAGGTAGATTCCTCTAACTAATAATTTTCATTACATTTGTACTATTTACCTTACAAAAACATGAGTTAGATATTCTGATGTGATTTTAACATAATTTGTGGCCCACAGACTCTAGGTGAAATTTTTGATGGTGCTCATTTTGAGGCCAGCATTGTGCCGTCAGTCAGCAGTGAATGCCAGCTGTGTTCACTGGGAGTGTAATGTGGCCAATAGAGAGCACATTTGTAAATCCCTGTCCTCTGTCTACAAACTGAAATCACTGTTTAAGAAAGAGCCCATTGTAGATGATTAGTTGAGGAAAAATATTGTAGTGAGAGTGTGCAAAAACTGTGAAGGCAAAACAATTCATGCCACATAAGGAATGAAACAGACCCGATTCCGTTTGTACCTTGAAGCAACCTTGCTCATCATTATGTCACTAGCAAGCTCCAAAACCTTTCCTGGAGTAATTCTTTCTTATGTCGTTTTACAGTTCATCTAAGACCATGCACGTGACAGAGATGCAGCACTGAATTGGTAGTGACAGCTTTGACGCACTGTACCTTTGGTTTTCCTGTTGATTTTGCAAATGTTTTAAAAAAAAAATAAGCGAGAGAAATCTATCGAACTTTTGGAATAAAACTGTAGCTGCTGCTGTAGCTAAATTGCTCCTAAGTGTCTAGGTGATAAAAGCCTTCTCCCACGCCTGCCACTCTGAACAACACTATTGTCAGGAAAATGTATGCATCTTTTTCCAGTAAGAAAAAGGACTGTGATAACATTAGCATTTAGACAAGACACTGAGCTGATGATTGTGAAATGCATTAATGGATGTGTCACTATTTTAAAAGAGCACATCTAATGGATTGTTTATACATGCCATCTCATTGTACTTATTTATTTATTTTATAGGATATTTTAAACATACAATTGCGTGGATCAAAGTAAAACTCTCCTGTGACCTCCTCACCTCAAGGGCCTGCATTCAACAGCACCGACTCCAGTTCCCTGCCAGTTGCGTGTGCCACCGGAGGACAATGAACATACTGAGCAGCCACCACTTTCTGTACTTTTTGCCCACCACTCGCCTTGTCATCTTACTAGCAGCTCTGACGACTGCTGAGGATGTGACTAATAGCACTTTCAACCGCACTGACATGAACACGGGTTCTGTGCCTGTGGTCATCTCCCGCATCGACCATATTATAGTCAAGGAGGGGAGTAGTGCCTTGATTGACTGCAATGTCCAAGGTAGTCCTAGTCCGCATTACAGATGGTACAACTCCAATGGCCAGCTGCTCCAAGAGGAAGAGAATAAAGGTAAGATTTTATTATTCTCAGCAGTGTAGCCTGTCCTGAGACACTTCTGATTTCAGCAGGGTAACTAAAAACCTTAATTTAATGGCCTGACAATGGTGTTTGCCTGTGGGAAAATATATGAAAGCACACTGGGATCATGGCAGCTATAAATGTGTTGTGTACATCTGGGATGAAAACAACAATAATTTTTGTGATGTGTTATGTATAGTAAAACATACCAACAAGCTGAAGTGCTTAAGGTGTGGGCAGGTTTTCTTTTCATTGGAAGACTTCAGGTTTGATCTTATTTCCCATTCTTTCCTCTTTGTTTTCTTTGGCACCAAAGAACACAGAAAAGCTATTATCCAACTCAAGGAAGGATTCCCTTGACATACGGTTCATTGCCATGATTTTAACACAGCTAACTCCCTGCTAGCCCTCTTGTCTTTATGCATAGTGCCATGGGAGTGTAAGAAACAGGAGATGCCCTGAATGACCAAGAGAAAAATCTATAAAGGAGAAGCAGTCTACAGGGACAAGACAAGTCTGAGCCATCCTGACTGCAGTAAGCCTCTTCAGGTGTATTTGCCAGAGACTTTTATTTCACATGAGCTTGTTTTCCTTAAAGGAAGGTTTGGTGAATAATCCTAGTTATACTTCTAGGGAATATTTGCTAGGAAGGAAGGGTATTTTGCTCATGTAATCCTTCCATACCGACTGCTTTGTTCACAGCATGATGAAATAAACTTTTAGTAATTCGTACTAATGCAGTACAGCTTATATAATAGCTGGGCTGAGGGAGAACTTTGTTATGATGGAGTAATGACTGAGCCAGATATATGTGCTTCAACAGTGTGTCTGTAAACTGCTTAGCAGGTATATTTTATCATTCTCTGTAAAGCTGGGGAAAAGAACTACGTGAGCTAGTTATGCAGACTTTCAGATATAATTTCTCTGGTCATGGCAACATACTGTGACTAGAGCTCCAGAGTGTTTTACTACAGTTTACCACTGGAAGTTTTCCCATTTAGTTAGGTGTCTAACTTTAGGTCTTTGTGTAGTTGACTGAGAGAGGTAGCTACTAACACAAACATTCAGGTAGGTAAGCAAAAACTTTGAACAAATCAATAAAAATTACATATGTGGCATTAAGACAATATAACTTCAACCTAGATTTTCAACACTGCACTCCTCCTTTAAGAAATTGATGCTTTTTCTTTAAGAACTGTTTCCTAGTATAAGACATTCCTCTACTATGTATGTGGTTAGGCTGAAAAAGGTGTTGAATTGCTATAACAAAACCAGCAATGACACCTTTTCTAATCATTGTTTTCTCATTAGGCTTACACTATCTGCCAGGATCCATTGGCACAAAACCAGTATTTGAGTCACAGTTCAATGCTATTATGTCATTTATCAGAGCTGGAACCAGGGTACATCAGCAAGGCATCTTGTCATTTTACAGTGAATAAAGACCTACTTTGCCAACACTGCAATTCCAAGAAATGTTTAGCAGCCAATACTGTGTATCTTATCATAGAGCTGGAGAAGGAAGTATCATCCACTTTAAGACAGTTTCCCTCAAAATTTGCCTAACTTTAACGGATTGGAGTGATTTGTGTGTGTGTGAAGGTTTGCTTTAGACTGATTTTTTGTTTATTCTATGTTTTTTAATTTCAGGCAAAGTGATTCAGCTGTTTTCAAGAACTAAGCTAGGGCAAATGTGCTGTTTTGGCTAAGTTATAAATTCTAGTAAGCTTGACACCACTAAATGAGGATTATCAAAAGATATAATTACATTAATTACATATATGGACTGAAGTAGGGGTCTTGGGGAGTATTTTCTATATAGGTTTTCACTGAAGGTAATGTAAAAAACAATTTGGACAAGCCATGTTTAGTTAGAAAAAATTTCCAACTGGTAAAAGCCTGTAACTGCTCTGAATTAAAGGCTTTTTTAGACTTATTTTGAGTCTCAAAGTTGCCCACAGATTCTTCCATGGAAGAAATAAAGCAAGAAATAGAACAATCTTCTTAACAAAAGAATTTCCACAAAAAGGATAAAATAAATGTAGAAGCAAGACATATACCAACCTGTGGCAGGACTGCAATCCTTACCTTGTGATTTAAATCCACTGCACTGGGTTTTTGTAGTGTTTTACGACTCTAATCACAGATTCAATGTCTTTGGTCAGCTGCCTCAACAGACTTAAACTGCAGCAGGTTAGGTGTAAGGAAATACATATTTCATACAGCAAACAAAATTTCAGGTAAACACCTGAAATCCCTTGATGTGGAAGATTATTGAAAATCCATCATTGACTTCACAGATAACTCTCAGGAACGGCTTGGGATTGTGTTAGGAAGCAGCTGACTCTGCCTCTGAGCAGCAGTATTTATGAGATGATCTTGTTCACTTACATCAGCCTATGCTGTTGTTTTACAGGGAAATATTCTGTATGGTATCTCCCTGAGTGAAATATTCAGAAGGCACAGAGGCACTCATACACTTTCCAGCTGTTCCATCCCCAGTATGAACTTCAGGGGTGGGTTTCCATGAGGCAAAGACTTGATTCCAGCCTTTCATATGAGAGTTGAATTTATTTTTTTTTCCAGCAAAGTTGAAATTGAATAAATCGTATCACACACAATAAAGCAAAAAAACTGTATATCCCAACTCTTAAATGGTAGCAACATTTGAATAAAGATGAAGCTTATCCCTGGAAGTGTTCAAGGCCAGGTTGGATGGGGCTTTGGACAACCTGGTCTAGTGGAAAGTGTTGGTTTGGAACTAGATGGTCTTTAAGGTCCCTTCCAACCCAAGCTGTTCTATGATTCTATGATAGTCAAAGTTGATGTCAATGATTTGATAGTAAGCTAGCTAGGATCTCAGAGAGAGAAAACTCTCTGAGATGGTAAATTCTTTGTCTTCCTGTCAACATTATTTCCCTCCTCTAAAATCTGAGGCCAAATCTGATGTTTAAGACTATGCGATCAAAATATTCTTACAAAGTTATTCTTACTAAGTTATTCTCTTCTCCAGCAGGAAAATGGTGGTTTCTTGACAATGGGCTACTAAACATTACCAGCGTGTCTTTTGAAGACAGAGGTAAATACACATGTGTCGCATCTAATATGTATGGCAGCGTTAACAATACTGTGACACTGAGGGTTGTCTATACTTCCGGAGATATGGGAATCTATTACATGATTGTCTGCCTCGTAGCTTTTACCATTGTTATGATATTGAACATTACCCGGTTATGTATGATGAGCAGTCACCTGAAGAAAACAGAGAAAGCAATCAATGAATTCTTCAGAACAGAAGGAGCAGAGAAACTCCAGAAAGCCTTTGAGATTGCAAAGCGTATCCCAATTATCACTTCAGCCAAAACGCTCGAGCTTGCCAAAGTAACACAGTTCAAGACCATGGAATTTGCTCGCTACATCGAAGAGCTTGCTCGCAGCGTACCTTTGCCACCTCTCATCATGAACTGCAGGACTATAATGGAAGAAATTATGGAGGTTGTCGGTCTGGAGGAGCAAGGACAGAATTTTGTACGGCAGACAGCAGAAGGCCAGGAAACCACTGAAACAGATGAGCTGTATATGATCCCAAATGCTTTGAAGCGCAGTGACTCTCCCACAGCTGACTCGGACGCATCGTCACTGCATGAGCCACCTCAACAGATTGCAATAAAAGTGTCGGTTCACCCATTGTCCAAAAAGGACTGCATGGACGGTCAGTCACAAGAAAGCGTGCAGCTGGACACCAAGGAAGAAGGCACTCCTCAAACACCAGCACTTCCTGTGGAGCCTCCTCCTGAGCCTTCTGCTGAACTCAGTTCTGATGACACAGCATTGGCAAATGACAAAAGTACATGTGTTATATATGAAAGCCATGTATGATAGTTACTCCTGAATCTATGCATAGCAGGAAAATCAGGTGGAGCTCTTTTAAAAATGCATATTGTACTTGCCGCTAAGCCTTACCTGGAGACTATCATAGCAAAAGCATGTATGTGGATTATCTGGCACTTTCTTCTCAATTTGACTTTAGTTTACCATAATGTATGGCAGAATAATTGCTAATACATTAATATTAATTGCTCTTTGGGGTTAGGAGTATTTCCAAGAAACATTTACCTCAGCATTTTCTAGGTTGGAGTCACCTGTAAGTGGCTTCTTGAAGTCACTGGTAGTTTTTGATGTAGGACACTTGAACACAAAACTGGTTTTCATTTTCCTCCTTCATTCTCATTATTTCCATCTATTGCATTTTTGCAAGTATTGTCTTGTGAATCTGAATTATTGCCCAAGAGGCAGCACTCCAATAGCCAAATAAAATCCTAATAGATCTCATTTACAAAGCCTGTTTGCTGTGCTGCATTGTGATTTAGAGGGCTATTAAGGAAAGTTAAAATGTTTCCATTTCATTTGAGACCAGGCTGCTTAGGCACAAAGGGAAATAGTTTTCTCTTTTCCATGGAATGAAGATGCCAACAAGTATTTTTTTCACATCAAGAAACAACTTCAAGGTGTATTTTACAGATAGGAAAGCCCTTCAACATCTTACAGAATGCTGCAGTCACAGCTCTGCAGGGTGTTTTTGCATGTATTTGACCATCTCTGACTCTGCCAGAAGTTTATATGGAAAACAGTTGCAAATCTGCCAGATGTCTTGTTTTGTAGTAATTTGGTAGGAGTAAGTATGTGCAGCCCTACTAGAAGACATGCAGGTGCATTAGCAGCAATCCTGCAAACTCCAGGGAACAGCTGATGAAAAGGCTGAAATGGCAGAAGACCCTTTTACTGGGATTCTCTTTTTTTTTTTTTTTTTTTTTTCCAGATTCTTATTCTGAGGGGCAAGCCTAAATTCATCTATAAGCATGAGTCTGGGAATGTTTTATCCTAGTTAAAAAAACAACCAAACTAAAAAGCGTGCTGTAAAATTACAATGACGATCACACAAACTGCTTACTGTGTTATAATTTCTTTTGTATTTCAAGAACCTCCTACATATGTAGGATGTTCACTACTTGAGAACACGTGACTTTACCCCAGTAAAGCTTTAATGATTATGGCAATTGTGGCATTAAAAAAGATCGACATTTATGCCAGGAAACGCGAGGAGTGGAAGGAAAGTGCTAATTTCTATTGCGGACAGACAATAAAAAGGACCTTTTCTGGAGTGAGTCTGAAAAGAAAGCACTTCCAAGAGGAACCCTTGTAGGCTTAATAGCATATTAATTATCTGACACACATTTAATTTGGAACTAATGAACAATCACCTGATAGTTTTTAAGAAAGACTGTAGTGTAAGTATAGATACTCAAATCTGGAATCGAGTATATTGAAGAAAAAGAAGTCAGTTAAGTCTATGGGGAGATGATGCACAGATAGCTCTCCGAATGTTTTATTGAAGTAGTCACATCTACATGTGTCCTTCAGAGGTAATCAGCTATATTAACTGCACAGGTCATTAAGACAACGCAAAGGCAATGTTGCAGCTATCTGTAAAAACCAATGAGGTTTTTTGTGGACTTCTTAAAGAGCAGAGCTTCAATAGCAGTGTAGTACAGGAACACCCTGTGACTTCCCTTTGTATACTTATTAAAAAATACTTGTTTAATAAAGGTCTTCAGATATTGCAATTGAACTTGTGAAAATTACAGCATTTAGTTGCCTAACATTTGTGCTTACCACTGTGGCAGGCATCTATACAAAACGCATTTGCACATACCCAAAAGGAAACACGCAGGGGCAAAGTCCCTTTAGGAATGTGGCTGGACATATTTTAGAAGCAATATAAATCTAGAACACAGGGTAGAGCACCATGAGGAACCTCACTTCTGACCAGTGCGATTGAAAACACTTCTGATGCAAACTTAATTCCTTGTCTGAGTCCAAAGGACATTTCTGTTCAGTGTTCACATCAGTTTTTCTTCAAGTCCCTTAATTTGCTTCTAGTATGAAAAAAGATGAGGGCAGAAACAAAAGCAGGAACTTGCACTGAATTACTTTTATTCACCTTAATCTCCTGAAAAGATGCATCTTGTTTTTTTACCTGCCCAGCACTTACAAACGATGTAATTCATTTTGAAGTTATCTGCTTGGTGCCCAACTAAAATTGCTCAGATGAGCAACGATGGTCTCTTTCAAAGCATAAAAATAACTTTAAAATTGCACTTCAATAACAAAAAAGGTTCAATATTAGCTTATTGTATTAAAGTACAGTATTTAATTTTAATAGTATTTTAATTATAAATTTTTTACACTGTGTATCAGACCTCTTCACATATTCATGTGGAGATTGGGCATCAGGCAGTTCTGACCCTGACTGCTGCCCAACCTGTTTATTATTTATTTATTGAGCAATATGGAAGAGCAAACAATCCCCATGGTTTTCTTTACTGTCCCTGTGCAAACTTCCTTGAAGATACAGATTATATTTTTTTCCAAAGGTTGCCCACAAAGATTGTGTATTTAAATGCAAGCACACTTTGCAAACCATTTATAAACAACAGTTATTTGGATTAGAGGCATGTAATAGGTACAGTGCTGAATTTCTGCTGTTGCAAGGTCAAAAGGAACTTCTTTGACTTTGCTGGAGCTGGAGTCACTCAGAGCTGAGAGGCCACACGTAGGGCTGGCCTAGCCAGTAAAGCCTCTGGACATTGAGCTTGGTGATATTACCGGAATAAAAACAACAGCACTGTATCTAAAGAACATACAGATTGTAATGGGTCTGTTTTATGTATTCATTCTCTTTTCATGTGTCTTTATGCATCTATTGTATAACACCTGAAAGAATAAAGCTTTTTACATGCTTTCAGGTACTTTCTTCTGTGGGAGCTATGTGGGCAAAGATCCAAACCTTCTTTCCTCTTTCAGATTTTCTGGCTGTGCTATCATAAAGTAAGCAATTTGGTTTTGCAGTATTTCCTAGGGAATGGCTATTTGATGTTGCAAGGACACTATTAACAAATATGAAATCCATGATGGTTCTAAGAAAACATTAACATTTGCATTGTTACATATTTTCATGTGCCTTAAGCACTTCAGGGACATCTAACAATCTGTTCTCATAATTGGTCTATGCACACCTTTTGTTATATTGTTTTATTTATCACATCACCAAGCAGCAATTTTTTGTAAAACACTCAGCATCTGGAAAATCCTGTCCAAGTGAGTTTGTGTTCTAAAAGCACCAGGTCAGGTTTAGAAAGGAAAAGAGATCTGCAGGATATATTTACACCATTTAAAATACTTTTCTGGAATTTCACAAAACATGACTAGATTTCTGCAGCACACGAAATCAGTGTTGGATTTGATTTCTGACATTCATTAATCTTTTTGCACTAAATGTAAGACTGTATTAATCAGACCACTTGAATGTAGTTCTCACTGTCTACTGGCTTGTTTTCTTTCTGAGCAGCATTTGTTTATTGCTGACCCTCTTCTGTTGTCTGATTTGAGTATGCTTGTGATTAAACTCTACCCTTCATCATTTTTTGCAATTGTCATTTTAAATTTTTTTTTAAAGTAGAGATCAGCATTTTTGTGCAGGTTTATTGGTATTAGGTGAGGCACAGCAGTTTGCTCCTGTGCTTAAGAATTACTGTGTAATCATAAGTCTTGCAGAATGGCGCACACAGGCAGATGTTGATTTTTTTTTAAATCAGTGCCTGTTTTACTCTAACGTACATACTGTGTCAGTTCCTCTGTTTGCAGTTACCTTTTGACGAAAGTACTGTAACATAATCAGGGTTTTCTGACCTTCAGTTTGATTCAGAGCAACTAATTCTGAAAAGTGTTGAGTGTTGAACTTTAGAAGTTCTCGTGGAGTATCTTGGCAGTATGCTGTTTTAAGAGTTGGCCTCCTAAGTAAGCCATACTTCATGGGACAACTGAAGGCTTCATAGATGCAAAGGAAATGCATTTTTAACCTACAATGTTTTATCTTTTAACTCTGCTCTTTGGAAAGGTAATCTAACTTTGAAAAATATATTCGGAACACATTTTTCTTCAATGGTTTCAGTTGAGTTAATGGTGATGAAAAACTTCCACAATTTATCTACAAGTGTATATCAAGAATAGTGAAGGGGGCATAAAAATAGCATAAATATGGCCAGAGACATATGCTATTTTATTGTCTCAGTGTGGGACCGTGTCTGTAACTGGGGAAGCTTGATACACTGTGGTTTGTTTGTTTTTGTTTTGTTTTTTAATAATATCGGCACCCCTTCAGGCTGCTCCCCCCTTCAGCATGCTGAAGGACTCCGACAGCTTTCTCAGAGCGTTTTCCAGGAAGGAAAGATACCACCAAGCACTTGGTCCCCGTGAGCTGGTGGATCGTGCTTATGCTGCTGAACACTGTGAAACATGCTCCTCCCAGACCAGGCGTTTCTTATGAAGGGAAGGTATCTGGCATGAGGAGGATAATGCTTTATGTGAGTATCGACAGAGGCACCCCAAAATTAAGTGCTGCTGAGGGGTGGCATCTCAACAGAAAGATGGGGATGGGCAGAGGGGTCTCTGCTCTCTTACTGAGACCAGAGGCAGGGAAAGCTGGTGCATAGCTCAGGGCCCAGCTATTTGCAGTGCTACAACTTCACTTCCCCACAGAAGAGAACATTTTTGGGTTCGTGTCCTGCACCAGTGCCTGGAATAACCAGCTCAGGGACTTTAGAATCAACTCCTTTTTGGTGTCCATTTCTTTCATGTCCCCTCTCCTCACGTCTTAACTTCCTGCTCTTTTCTCTGTCCCTACCAGCTCTGCAGTGCTACTTCTTGGATGAGAAGTCTCAGAACAGAGCGAAGTAGTGCTTGGGACAAGTGTGCTTGCATTACAGGCACCTCTGTTACAAACCGACTTTTTGTAAGTCCCCAAATGGACTTTTTCTCCCCAGCTGCACCAGGCTCTAATGCTATGGTCTATATTTAGCTCTCTGGCTCCCAGGCCCAAACTGAGTCATTAAACTCTTTTAGTAAAGGCTGACTCATGGATCCGTGATAGCACGTGCACATCTATAAACTGGTCAGAGAAACTGAAGCTAAGATACTGATTTCTTTTACAATATCACAGTGTATGGCAGCAACCACTAAACGTGGCAGATGTAGGACACAGAAGTTACATAAGGAGAAGTTATTTCATACCCCAAGGAGAGAAGAGAATGACAATTAACAGCCAGCCTTCTATAGCATGGAGAGTATATTTAAAACCTCACTTATAATTTAAGAGAAATTTAATGAGTATCAAATCAATTTGCCACTGTACAGCCTCCTTCCATTTGGAGAACAGATTCCTGTTAATCTCTGAGCACAGCTCTCCTGTGTGGGCAAGCACTGTAGGCAAGGAACCACTGCAAGTTACCAGAAAGAGCCTCGTCTCCTTCTCCCCCCAGTTTTGAAATTATTCTCAAGGCCATTAGCTGTGTGTCAGAAGCCAAGCACACACAGCCCCGGAGCTGCGGACCTCCCACCCAAGGAGTACAAGGTGGTCTTTCTGAAATACCTTGGTCTTCTCTTGCATAGGTCTTGATTGTACCACCCAGTAAAGCACTCGTATTAACAGCTCAGGCCCAGCCATTCTCAACTGATAATTACAGATAAGTAAAATAAATGCCACCCACCTCTTTCTGCAGCCTGTTTCTGTTTCTCCCTAAAGATGAGCCCAGACAGACAGGTTATCTCCTGCATGGGTTGGGTGTCCTTTAGCACCTTCCTGCCCAAGGGACAGGACCTTGGTCAGGATTCAAAGCAAATAGCAGCCAGAAAATGAAGCTCTCTCCTAATGAGACAAGTATGGATCCCACCTGTTTATAATGCTTCGTTATCCTTCTCTCTAACACCTGCAAGAGTAAACAGCCTCTGGAAATAATTGTAAAAATAAAAATAAATTTATGATTAAAATGGATTGTTTTTTTTTCCTCACTCAAAACATCCAGAGGTGTTTATTTTCTAAGTATATTAAATTCTAAATCATTTTAATCATTTTTTCATTTAAGCATACTCCAGTGGAGGAAAAGGAGATTCCTAAAATCAAGGAATTTTTCACCCCTGGTCCCAAAGTAAATCATCACAAAAATAAGGAAAGTACTGCCTGAGAGTCTTTCTCTCAGGATAGCCTTTACCAAGGAAGATATTTCCAGGCCTTTTTACAGTTCTGCTTAGGTGACTGCAGCTTCCTTAAGGGACTTGTGGAAGCACATTTCTCTTCTGGTGTCTTCTTGGTTAAATATTCTCTACCTGTGTAATCTCTTCTTAATGTATAAAAATAAATATTCCACCGAAGGAGATTTATCTTGCTTCTATCCCCCAGGGCAGCACTCCATTTTGATACCTTTCTTGCATTTTGCTTTAGTGTTTGGTTTTTGTTTTGTTTGCCCTAAAATTCCTCCCTTTTTAAAATAAAGTAGAGGACCCTAATGTTTTGGTGGAGGAGGAGGTTTTGTTGTTGTTTTCGGTTGGCTGTACAGGGGCAGGATCCCTCACACCCATCTGTATAATCCAATGTTAATTATGCAGAGGGACATTTAACTACTGCTAGGTTGGTGCATGCTGAACCAATGAAGTAAGCTGAGGTACTTTTGCAAATCAACATTGAGAGAACAGCTGAAGACATCTTTCCCAAGACACAGGTGAAAGAGAAGTGTAGCCAGTCATAACTGGTCTGTGAATATGTTATGTTCCTTTGGATGTTCCCTTCAAAAAAGTAACACACGATACATCCCAGCCTTAAGTAACATGTTTCTTTTTGCTTAGCCTCCCATCCTGGATGGACTAACACCCTTGCACAGTTCCTATGCCTGCACTTCAGCTACCCGCTGTGTGTATTGGTTTACCTTGTTCATCAAACAGCTTGCTAAGTTCAGGGGCCTCTCTAAATTAGGAATTTCTGAAGAGACTGCAGACAGCTTGCTGATACTATGTAAATGATAGTCATTTCAAATGCATTGATAAATGCTTTTTCACATTTTTTAAACTGAAATTCTAAATTTCTCTGTAGGCTGATAACTAAATTTTAAGAGAGTCTGTTTTTTCTGTATCCTTTTAACTAAAAACTCAGGTTCTTTGTAAGTATGCAGTAAAATGACAGTAATCTGCTGCTGAATAAAATTGCTTTTTGGAACTATGGTTTCTACATTTTGTAATCCCTGTGTAATCTCTGCTAAGCATAGAGCTCATTCTTTAATATATATGCCATAAATGAGGTGAAAGGCTCCAAATCACTGTTATTCATGTAGTCTGCATCAGACTACTAGTTATTTTATTAGAATATATAATATACTTACTGTGATGCTGTAACTCCTGTTGCAGTTATTAGAAATAGTCCCAGAGCACTAGCCAATGTTATATGATACAGAATCACTGAGAGCTATGTTCCCATTGTACTACACAATTTCAGAAAAAATAGCTCCAGAGAAAACCCCTCACTTCTCAGCATAGACAGAAACCCTTAGGAGTACACACAGGCTTTACATGTTTTTCAGAAAACAACAAGAAACTTCAGTAATAATTGGGCTCTTCCTTCTAAAACTGATCCTTCTAAAACTGATGCTGGAGCTGAAGTATCATCAAAGATGAGCTCACTGAAGCATGGGAATTCATCTCTGGTGGTAATTACCAGTCAGTTTTCAGACAGCAGCTGAAGACGCTGCTCTGGGTAGCCTGCAATATTTTAACGAGGATAAAATTCTGCCATATCTTGTATATTGGCAATGTGCAGGAGATTATGAATAGTGTTAACATGATACAGTTCCCAAACTGTACAGTTCAGCGTCTCCACAATGTCTCTGAGCCTCTTCCCAGATAGAGGAGGGCACTGCAAGC